ATCTATCACTGCAAATCCCAATCATATATAACCCCAGCTATGTGAATAAGGGCATGTTTGGGTTAGTTTTTTTTAGTTTTAATTTTTTGATACTATATATACTTCATAAATATAAATTTTTTTCTTAAAAATTTATATTTATATATATTTTTTAATTTTAAAAAGATCCCAAACAGTAAAAATTCAAAAATTTTAAATCTAAACTTTTCATAAACTCTTTATTTATTTATTTTTTTTCTATCTCTAAAAATAATTTTTAAATTTTCATTTCAATAAAAATTTAAACTTATCACTCATAAATAATACTAAGAAAGTAAAAACTCTGACAAGCCAAACCAAACAGACCCTAAATCAATTTGCAAACTAAAGCATGCAGGAGAGAGCAAAACATTTAAATTTTGAAGCAAAGGCTATAAAAAACCACCTTCAATCAGTTTAGTCATACACAAACATACATACATGCACTTACCCATTGGAAAAGGAATCGTATATAAGGGTGTTTGCGGTGTGGTTTAATTCAGATTTTATTATTTTTTAAATCAATCTAATTTAATCGGTTAATAAAATTTTTAAACCAATCCGATCCCTTATTATATAATAACCAAACCAATCCAATTTAAATCGGATTGGTGTGGTTCGGTCGAATTGATCGGTTTTTAGCATTATTAAATATATAAGATAATGAAAAAATATTTTAACATCAAATAGAAAGTATAACTATAAAATACATTAATATTCAAATCAGTAAAAATATAATAAAAGGTAAAAGTTATAAACGAATTCTTACACTCCTTTACATTTGTAAAAATTAAAAAGCTTTGAAAATTCTTCTTAGTTACATTACTAGAGTCACCAAAAACAATAAAAGATAATTTCAAATTTCTAGCACAACATAAATAATTCTTGAAGGTTAAAATTAATTTTTTTTAATACACTAATAATTTAATTCTATTTTCTAAATCCTATTAAAAGTGAATAACATTTAACATGAATATTACTAAAATTGATTAAAAGCATTCAAAATCAAAATTTAAAACTTCTAAACCAAATATTTAAGAATAGTTGAATATTAAAACTAATTTTATTATATAGTTTTAAGGGTTTTAGAATAATACTTATTTAAAACTTAGTTAGGAAAATCATAAGATTATTTTAAGAATAAATTAAAAATTTAGGGTTCTAAAAGTAAAGGTATAAACCAGTTCTGAAAAGATAGAGTTACAGATGAATTAAAAATTTAGAATTAAAATTAGAGTGCATGATTAAAATGGAGAAATAACTTAGGGAATATGGAGATGTTCTATTTTTTTATTTAATTAAGTTAATGGAGTTATAATCTTGTAAAATAAGAAAAAGAAAATTTAAAATACAACAAAAAATATGTTATATTATTTAATTAAATTATCTTTTAATCGGATTTTATTTTGTAATTAGGCAGTTCGGGCGGTTTAAAAGTAAAATCACGAACCAAACCAAATATATCGGTTTTAAAAATTTTAAATTCAAACCAACCTAATTTTATATCGGTTTGGATCAATTTTTGATTGGATCCGATCAGTTTAGATCGAATTAATCAAATTGGATCAGATATGAACACCCCTAATTATATGCGTGGTCTCACCTTTTAATTCGCACTCTTGATCTTTCTATGTTCTTAATTTCCCTGAATCTACGCTGTTTACTAGATCTCCTCATCAACTTCATTAATTTTGTTGTTATTACATAATATATTATGCTCGGTAGTACTTTAATTTCTTCCTATTTTATTACAAAGTGTATGCTCTTTTTGGAGATTTAATTACATTAATTTTTTGTGTGTAGCTATAAGGCAAATTAGCCATAGTGAAGCCAATATATCTCCCTACTTTCTTTCTTGGAAGCCAAGTACGACGTTGTTCAATTGTCAAAATTCATCATCATAAAATATTCTTCTCTTTAATTAGTTAGTTATTGGTCAATTATGCTAGTACTCCAAGTTACTATGAATCTCTGAGAATTCCTTAATTCTTAAAATATTACACTCATTTTCAAGTATCATTTGGTAAGATTTTTTCTTTTTTTAAGATAGATATATATCATTTTAGAAGTTAATGAAGTTGCATATCAATATATAAGAGAGTTTAGAAATTACCTTAAGTTTATGTATTCATTTTTATATAAAAAAAAAGAGAGATGAGAGAGAGGTTTAGAGAGAGAGAGAGTGCTAGGGTTTGGACAAGGCGTCCGGCAGCAAGGGACAGCGGTAATGGGCTCCGACGGTGGCTTCCGGGTTTTGGCAAGCAGTATCTGGGTCAGGCGACTTCGTTTTTCTTCTATAATTTTCCAGAGGATAGTTCTGCGAAGGATCTATGGTTTTGTTTTGGGGCACATGGGAGGGTAGCAGATGTTTATATTCCGGCAAGGAGGGATCGAAGAGGGCGTCGTTTTGGCTTTGTTCGCATGTCAGAGGTCTCAAATGTGACAGAACTGGAAAGGAAATTGAATCAGATATGGCTGGGTTCCTATCATCTTAGGGTGAAGGTGGCAGGCAGTATGAAAAGAGGGAAGGAAGGGGCAATGGTGAGACACAAATCGCAGATTGAGAAGAAATGGATTAAGAGGGACAACAAGGTGAATCCAAAGGTGACTTATGCACAGGTGGTGGCCGGGAATATGGCTGAAGTTGAGGATAGAAATTCTTCGGCTAATGATGTACGATATGTTTCGACATCAAAGGAGAATGAGTCAATAGGGAAGAGGATTGTGGAGGATGGCATAAAGGCCAAAGCATCAGAAGTGGTGCCGGAGTCAAAGCATGACGGGTTAATGAAGACAGTCTCATTTGGGAGGGATGCGATGAGAGGCCTATCAAAATCTGATTTGGTTTTAAATTTTTCTCCTACGGAGGAGGAGGGGGCATGGCTGAAACAAAGTTGGGGGGCCATGGTGAGATCTTTAGATATGGTGAAGCAAATACAGAACAGATTTAATGTTGATGGGGTTCGGGTTACAGTAGCATTGTTAGGGGGTCGTCATGTAGTTTTATTGGATAATTCGGAAGGATGTTTTGAGGAGTTCATAAAGGATAATCGGGAGTTGATAGATTATTGGTTTGAATGGATTCAGCAAAGTAGCTTAACTACAATGCCTCTATTGAGTAGATTGGTGTGGCTTCGGTTGACAGGGGTCCCTTTGAAAGCATGGAGTGACAGATGTTTCACGGAGCTAGGGGGGTTAATTGGAGAGGTGATTCTTGTGGATGAGGATACAAAGAGCAAATCTTTCCTGTGTGAAGGTAGAGTGTTGATATTGAGCACGGAAAAAACCAAAATTTCAACCATAGTTATGCTGCAGATTGATGGTGAAGTTTTTCCGGTAACAGTGGAGGAGGAGGAGTGGCGGATGGACCCAGATTGGTGGCTGGCTGGAGAACGGCGAAACCCGGCAACAGAGTCCGATTCAGAAGCTTCCAGCGACGGTTACCATAATTGTCAGTTAAATGTGGACGGATTTCTGGGCGATGAAGTCGCTGATTTGGCCGAGGATCGCGTAGCAACGGCTCTTGACGTGCATGGAAGTTTAAATGAGCAAGGCGTTTTGGCGGAAAAAGGATCGGGTGAGTTGATTAGGGAACATGGGCTTGGTGGGAATGGGCCGGGTTTGGATAACTTGCGTGGGCCAGAAGTTGTTGAGAATGGTTTGCAGCTGGCCGAAGGTGGTATGTTGGTGCCAGCTGGGTCGCAACAGGGTCGGTGGGATCGGGTGAAGAAATACAAATGTGTGGAGGAGATATATGTTGGGGGCAGGGGAGTGAGGGAACCGACAGAAACAGAGCTGTCGTGGGTTACAGAGAGAACAAAACTCAGAAGGGAAAGAAAGGAAAAAGTTCAGTGGGCTGGGTCTCGGCAGGAAGAGCAGCGGGAAGCTTCTTTGTCCGATGGTTGCATTCAACATAGAAACCAAGCTATTCGGCAACAGATGGAGGTAGATGAAGTGCGCAGATTATTTGAGATGGGGCAACGGTTGGGAGTTCAGTGTCAACAGAATGAAGCAGAGGTATTCTCAAGGATGACAGCCTTGGAAGAGAGGGATGCTGTCAATCTAAGAGGGGATTAGATTTTCGGTGATTATGGTGGGGGAGCAGTGAGGTATGCTTTTATTTATGAAGATTATTTCTTTTAATGTGAGGGGGTTGGGTAGTATTTTGAAGAGAAAGGAGGTTCACAAATTAGTAAGAAAGGAGAAGCCTGATTTCTTATTCATTCAGGAAACGAAATTAGAGGTGGTGGAGGTTTCTTTGTGCAGGATGTTGTGGATTTCGGAAGATTTTGATTGGGTAATGCAAAAATCACAAGGAAATTCGGGGGGGTTGTTGTGCATATGGAACAAGAGGAGTTTTGTGAAAAAGAGGGTGTTTGAAGGAAAGGGGTTTATTGGGATTTCGGGGGAATGGGGTAGTCAACAGCTCAGTTGTAATTTGGTGAATGTGTATGCTCCTTGTGATAAGAAAGAGAAGGTTTTGTTGTGGGAAGAGATGGGGAGTTTAGTATCGAATCAGGGTGGGAGGTGGCTTTTAGCAGGGGATTTTAACTCTGTTCGAAGTATAATAGAAAGGAAGGGGAGATTAGGCGAGACTCAGGATATGGAAGAATTTAATCGATTTGTGGAAGGGACTGGTCTTATTGATGTTAAATTGTTGAACAGGAAGTTTACTTGGTATAGATCTGATGGAAGCTCAATGAGTAGACTTGACAGATTTTTGTTATCTTCGGAGATGAGTATGCTGGAAAGAGATTGGACACAAGTTGGGGTTCGACGCTCAATCTCAGACCACTGTGCTATTATTTTGAAATCGAGAAATGTTGATTGGGGTCCTAAGCCGTTTCGAGCTCTTGATGTATGGCAACAACACCCAGAGTTTAGAGATTTTGTGGTGGATAAATGGAAAAATCTGCAGATTGAAGGATGGGCAGCTTTTAAATGTCAAAAAAAGCTGCAATTATTAAAGGAGGAATGCAAAAGGTGGAACAAGGAGGTGTTTGGAAATGTGGAGGTAAGGTATGAGAGTTTGTTGCAGCAAATTGAGATGTTAGATAAGAAGAGTGAGGACACTGATCTAAATGAGAATGAGGTGTTGTTACGAAAGGTGTGTTCTCAGGAAGTTTGGGATGTACTACAGAAAAGAGAAGCGGTGTGGAGACAAAAATCGCGAGCCAATTGGGTTCGCCTTGGGGATGCCAATACGGCTTTCTTTCATAGATGTGTGCATGCTCGACGAGCACAGAATGTATTATCAGGCATCTTAGGTGAGGGTGGGTGGGTTGAGGAACCTGAAATGGTAAAGGAGGAGGCAGTAAGGTATTTTTGTCAGTTATTTCAGAATGATCAGTGGAGTCGTCCAGTGATGGGTGGGATTCAGTTTCGTCGAATTTCAGCTGAACAGAGGGAGTGGCTCGAAAGGCCTTTCTCAATAGAGGAGATTGAAGAAGGTCTTCATAGTTGTGAGGGCTCGAAGGCACCCGGTCCGGATGGGTTTAATTTTAATTTCATAAAGTTTGCGTGGAGTTCTTTGAAAGATGATTTCGTGAATTTTATGTGTGAATTTCATCAACATGGCAGGTTAGTGAAAGGTTTAAATTCTTCATTCCTTGCATTAATCCCTAAGAAATTGAACCCTCTTCAGTTTAAAGAGTATAGGCCTATTAGCTTGTTGGGGTGTTTGTATAAATTGTTGGCCAAGGTTCTGGCAAATCGGTTGAAAATGGTAATGTCAGATATAATTAGTGATTCTCAGTCCGCTTTTGTGGGTGGTAGGCAGTTGGTGGATAGCGTGTTAATATTGAATGAGGTTGTGCATGAGGTGAAAAGCAGAAAGAAACAAAGCTTTATGTTTAAAGCTGATTTTGAGAAAGCTTACGATTGTGTGGATTGGGGTTTTCTCGATTGGATGATGGATAGTATGGGCTTTGGGGATAAATGGAGAAAATGGATTCGGGAATGCCTCTCAACTGCGAGGATATCGGTGTTAATTAATGGAAGTCCAACGAGGGAATTCTCTGTTTCCAAAGGCCTTCGTCAAGGTGATCCTCTATCTCCTTTTTTGTTTTTATTGGTTGGAGAAGGTTTGTGTGGACTGGTCAAAAAAGCTGAGTGTGAAGGGATGTTGAGAGGAGTAGAGATCGGAAGGGGAGGGGTGGTGTTGTCGCTATTACAATTTGCAGATGACACAGTGTTCATCGGGACAGCTGATGCAGAAAATGTTAGAGTTGTGAAAGCTATCTTGCTTTGGTTTGAACTGATTTCTGGGTTAAAGATAAATTTTAGCAAGAGTCATCTGTACGGCTTTAATGTTTCGGAGGGTTGGTTACAAGGGGCTGCAGATATGTTACACTGTGGGGTGGGCAAAGTGCCTTTTATATACTTGGGTTTGCCAGTAGGAGGAAATCCGGGGAGGAAGAGGTGTTGGAAGTCGGTAATAGAGCGGTTTCATCAAAAGCTTGCCACTTGGAAAAGCCCATTACTGTCCTTTGGAGGCCGGATTACCTTAATAAACTCGGTACTCTCTGCTATCCCTATTTTTTATTTGTCTTTATTTAGGATTCCTAAAGTTGTTCTTGTTGAGTTGATTAAAATTCAGCGGAATTTTTTTTGGGGTGGTGTGAGTTTGGCTAAAAAGATTCCATGGGTTAGTTGGGAGTGTATGTGTGCGGAGAAGGAGAAGGGGGGTCTAGGAGTGGTTGATTTAGAGAGAAAGAATGGGGCTTTGTTGGGGAAATGGTGGTTTCGTCTGGGTGATGGTTTAGATAGTTTATGGAAGAGGGTGATTTGGGGAAAATATTATGGGGGTAGGAGGGAGAGGGATGTCACTTCTGTTGAGTGTTTGACTATGTCTCGGATTTGGAAGGATATTGTGTGTTTGGGTAGTAGATCGGAACAATTTTCAAAGATGTTAGTAAGAGGTTTTAAGTGGGAAGTTGGGGATGGAAGCTGTGTGGATTTTTGGAGTGACAAATGGGTGGGGGTTAATTCTTTGAAAGAGTTATATCCTAGGTTGTTTGTGCTGGCTGTAAGGAAGGAAGGGTTGGTGAAGGATATGGGTGGTTGGCGTGGAGATAATTGGGTTTGGGATTGTAGGTGGCGGTGTGGAAGTAGAGGGAGGGCAGCAGAAGAGGAACAAATTTTTCGGTCAATGCTTAATGGATTTACGTTGCGGAATGGTAGGGAGGATGTTTGGAAATGGGTGCATAGTAGTGAGGGTTGTTATTCGGTGAAGGCAGCTTATGAGTTCCTAACACCAAATTCTTGTTTTGTTGAGGAGAAATGGGCTAAGGTGATTTGGAATAGATATGTCCCTTCTAAAGTGAGTGTGTTTGGGTGGAGACTGTTTTTAAATAGGTTAGCGACAAAGGAGAATTTATGTAAGAGAGGAATTGTGTTGTCAGGGGGCGATAAGGGATGCGTGTTGTGTCAGGGGGGGGAGGAGCATCTTCATCATATTTTCTGTGGGTGTAAAAGGGTATGGTTAGTATGGATGAAGGTTTTGGGGTGGTGGGAGATTCAGAGTGTATTACCAAATGATTTGTTTAGTTGGGTGGAGTTAGTGGTATTTGAGATAAGTGGAGGAGTTTTGAAGGATTTAGGGGCTTTCATGTTTTTGGTGACGGCGTGGTTTATTTGGTATTGGAGGAATTTATATGTGTTTAGGACAGAGGGTATGTCTGAAGAGCTATTATTTGAGTCTATTCAAGCAAAATCTTTTTTATGGCTCAAGAACAAGGAACCAGGGTGTGTGTTTTCATATACGGATTGGATGTTGAGGCCAAGGGAGTGCAGGGAGAATATTGTGCAATATCGCAAGAAT